GGGTATGAATGAACTTGAGAACAACAGCAATTAAGTGGTAGTTACATGTTCCTCAACACCCTTAATCTCACGATTAGAGGTCTTGCTGCCAGTTGTAGCTTATCGTCACACCCACAAGATATAAATTGTACTCCATCCAGTAACTCACCAATTCATTAACTATGGCCTGCTCGATAAACATTTATTTACATTGAAATTGTTTTTTTTTTCTTTCTGGAATGAAATGATATAAAAAATAACTCAAGTTATTATTCATTTTCACTATAAAATTTGAAGGCAGATTAGTCGACAAGCACGCAAGACTAATATCATTTGCCGCCATTGTTTTAAATCAAATGTTTTCAGCAGTTTTCTTTTTCTTCTATGAGTAATTTCCCTTCAGGAGGTTAGCGATCATGGCTCTCCTCAATTTCATGTTCTTTGAAGTTCTTAGGAATTAACTGATAACTGACATCCATTAGACATGGCACGTGGAACTAGAATAGTCTACCCCAGTGAGCGAAATAAATGGTTCAGTTCGACATTCCAACTACCTGAAGAAGACCGGAGCGTACAACGGCCGAAACGTTGTAATAGATATGGCGACAAAGATGAGAACAATATTCTGAATTATGTAAATAATGTGCCTAATACCTCATCTCAGAAATATAGACAGATACTGAAGAAGGCCGGAGCGTAAAATGACCGAAACGTTGTAATAGATATGGCGACAAAGATGAAAACAATAGTCCGAATAATGTAAATAATATACATATTACCTCATCTCAGAAATATAGACAGATACTGAAGAAGGCCGGAGCGTACAACGGCCGAAATGTTGTAATAAATATGGCGACAAAGATGAGGATAATAGTCCGTATAATGTAAATAATATACATAATACCCCATCTCAGAAATATAGACAGATACTGAAGAAGGCCGGAGCGTACAACGGCCGAAATGTTGTAATAAATATGGCGACAAAGATGAGGACAATAGTCCGAATAATGTAAATAATATACATAATACCTCATCTCAGAAATATAGACAGATACTGAAGAAGGCCGGAGCGTACAACGGAAATTTGTATAATAAATATGGCGACAAAGAAATGAATAATCAGTCGAATAATGTAAATAATATACATAATACCTCATCTCAGAAATATAGAATGCTGAAGAAGGCCGGAGCGTACAACGGCCGAAATGTTGTAATAAATATGGCGACAAAGATGAGGACAATTCCGAATAATGTAAATAATGTACATAATACCCATCTCAGAAATATCGACAGATAATTTTTTTTGTCTTTTTGCTATCTCTCTTAAAATCTGTTTTTCTATCTATTTACACGAGCTCATTAGATAGTGTTTTCCTCTGTCCACCTTGCCTTCAATCTGCCCAGTGAGTGTCAAATTTTCCAAGCCCTACTTCTTTATGTGACCTAGGAATTTCAACTTTCTCTTCTTCATGTTAGACACAACTTCTTTTTGTTTGCATTTCACATGTTCAGTCCATGTTATTATCAACATCTTTCTGCAGAACTGCATTTCTGTTGCTTTTTTACATCTGTGAGGAGACTGACTAACATTCAACCTCAATAGTAAGTTTTTTTTAAAAATAGTAAAACAAATATATTAATAGAAAACCCTTTTATCAAATAGTTTTATTCAATCATGTGTTTCTTTTAGATATTAGTAGGCCATTGAACAAATAGAAGCAAATATGTCTTTAACATCTTTCTCATCATGCTTCTCTTCGGTAAAAAGAATTAGTAATCATACTTATAAAACCCAGGTTGTGTGTGTGTGTGTGTGTGTCTGTACGTTTATATATTGGATCGGATTTCCTACATTTTTCAACCGATTTCAACAAAACTTCACAGGACTACGTAAAATTACCGTGTGGTGGTTCTGACAGCGCCAAAAATTGGAAAAACATAATTGTTTTTTGTTCAATTTGAAAAACACGATTAAGAGTCATCACGGGAATGAAAGTGGGACAACTCATATCGAGTTATACTTATAAAAACCCAGGTTGTTTGTGTGTGTGTGTGTGTGTGTTCCTTTATATATGGGATCGGTTTCCTACATTTTTCAACTGATTTCAACAAACTTAATATTTTCTTTTTGGCAGGTAGTGTTTCTTATTGTTTTGCACACTTTTTTTCTTTATTTTTATATTCAGAATGCTTTAAAAATTCCATTTACAAGACAATTGTTTATAATAAAATTCTATTCAATCGGTAGACTCATAACGATTGAAAACAATGTTTTTCTTTGAGTTTGGGTTTGACCAATTCGTAAAAAAGAAATAAAAAAAAATAAAATAAAAATAAAACTCATTAAGACATGCGTGTCCGTCAACCTTAAACAATAATCTTTGTCAATTTTATTTTTTAGTCTTTATGATGGTCAATACTTGATCTATCTCTTACTGCTACATTCCCGGGCAACGCCGGGCTCTCCTGCTAGTGTACAATAAATATTACTAACCTTATCAATATTATCATTTTTGCTCATATTTTTTCATCTCTCGATTTTCCATATCTACATATTATTAATTATCATTAGTGTATTAATATTACTTTAATATCATATATCATATATATATATATATATATATATATATATATATATATATATATATATATATATATATATATATATATATAGGCATTTAAAACAACATGCCTGGCAAGCGTACACAATTCCGAAAATCCTCGTTGAAAAGATCTATATTAAACATGAAAACAATGAACAAAAAACTAAAAAAAATTGAAGATAAAACAGTTGAAAACCTGAAAAAAAAGAAATATCCAGAAATATTCTTAAATGCCTATAATTGATAACAGAAGCCATTGGTTTATACCAACAGCTACCCATACTTAATACTTCTCGTTTTCACTCTCGCGTAGTGATGTGTGACGTCCCGAGCTGCGATGCTATTTTCGCTTCCGCGTCTCGTATATACGAGTTTGTCGTTGCTTTGAAATTTTTCACGCAACAAAAACAGACTATCATTATTTTTTTGTCCGTGTATTGTTTAATATATTGAAATGTAATTGTCATATTTGATAATGGCTTATGTAAGCCGAAAGCTCAGATAGGATGAAAACATGTATCAATATGGTTATTTCCTTTCGTCTTCAAAGATAATGTTATTAAGCTTATCAGGCAATTTGAAAGGAACTTAATTAAAATAAACAGACAACATTTGTCTATATTATTTAATGTAATATGCATCAATGAAAATTGAGAGCCTAAATACACACACATATATAATATATATAATAAATTAATTGATTTAAAATATTTTTTACGCTACACAGTTCTAACCATGTTTCAAAAATGGAGTCAAAGCCAAATTTAATTTTGCAATTAAATTAAAGACATTAGTTCCATTTGCCGTTAACAATAAATTTAAAAAAATCCAGACAACATGCATTCAACGGATGTCAGTTCTCATTGAAAAATACATCCCTACCCCATACCAAAATGTAGCTAATAACCGATACATTGATGCAGACATAAAAAACCCAACAACCCTTGTCAATTGAAGTAGATATAACTGTAACCAGAGAACCAGATTTTAGCTGTGTCTTTAAAAACCCAGTAATTTTAAAAATTACTCCAAAATTTGTTTGAGGATTTAAAACTAATGTCTTTAATTTAATCACAAAATTAAATTCGTGGCTTTAGCTTCCATTTTGAAACATAGTTAGAACTGTGCCATTTTTAAATCAATTAATTTATAATATTAATGCTCTAAAAATTTACATTGAGCACTATTTTGTAAAATAAAATATCTACAAGAACACCGGATTATATATTTTAGTGTTCTTTCTTTTATTTAAATACACACACACACACACACACCATCACATATATATATATATATATATATATATATATATATATATATATATATATATATAATATAAAATGCTCGTACACTAAAATTTCATGGATTAAACAGACGATAGACGAACTTATCTATAGATTAGTTCGTCTATGTCTGAAACAAAAACTATTCCTGATTTTGGGAACAAGAAAGCAATGGTTTATTCCTTGTTTCCTTTAGTTTGCTTTATTTTCCTTCCAAAGTCTAATTTATATCTATACTTGTGACGTCTCCGCCTAGACTTTGGAATTTTATTTACTATATTTATATCTACTTTTTTTCCTTCATTAGAAGTAGATAGATTCACCTATCGTTGGGTTTACACTCCTCGCCGTTCTGTTGAACAGGAATAGTAGCTTATCTTTTGTTTCCCGTGAGTTTCCGGTCCTTTCATAAGTCTCTTCTTTCTCTCTCACACACAGTAGCCCTTGTGACTGAGTGGCATTATTGCCTTGATTGAGATTAAAATAAATGTCCTGGCGTTATCTTACTTTACAGATAGTAAATTGCCATGGTTTTGTAGTAAACTAGGCGTAATAAAAATGAATATTCAGTCGATTTTACAAATATTTTTGACAACAGTTCTTTGGAAAGCTGATTTTAAAATTTGAGATTTCCATTTCCTCAGTGCTTTTATAGAAAAGAATCCAATTGAGAATGATTCATTTCTTTCTATAAATCTTTTTTTTTTTCACTTTTAATTTGAATCTCAACAAATCAAATATAATCGTATGATTATAATGTTTTAGTCTTTCTCTCTCACATTTGTTTTGTTGTTGCTTTTTGCAATCAGAATTGCAACAGAGATGAATGCCTTTGTCTGACACGAAAAACGATTCTAAAGATCCAATGTTCGTATTGATTTATGAATTTCATGACGTTTCCAAAGAGATAATTGTCTGAACCAGATTGATGGGACGATTTCGTGCGAAAGAGTGTCTTTTACTAACTGTTTTCTCTTTGGCATAAGGAATGGTGGAGAGGTTGTCACCATGGAATCAGCGAACTCAGTACGAGTTTTGGAAGAGGCTGCACCAATCTATGGCGTCATGGCAGTTTTGCCTAGCTATGCTGGCCCCTTTTAGGTGAAAATATCCAATTCTGCTACTTACTTTCTCTCCAATACAGACTAAGCTTAACGACACCCCCAACACACAATATAATAAAAATATACAAATAAAGGTTATATTATACGTTACTATATTTCTATGCCTGTTTAGAAACAGCACAAACACTAATTAATTCAGAGGACAAACGGTAGGTTCTGACATTTCCTGTTATCTTGAAAAACATATATTCATCGACAGAAGGTTAATTTCGTATACATATCAGTACGCCTTACAAAAGTAAAAGTACAAAAAAATCAGTCTGATTTTCGTTTAACATGTGAAGCTGTCAGTCGCCATGCATTGTTGAGTTCTAGGTTCACACTGTTTATATCAGCATACACTCTCTATATAATATTAAGCGTCTTCCCTAATAAATATAGAAACTGCCGTTTCACATATATACACATAGTGAAACAATGCTGAGAAAATTAGAAGTCCTAACAGGATTCATTATTGACGGACACAACTTTAACTACATTAGATATGCAGATGGCACAGTCGCAGAAAGGAAACTAAAGGACTCCTACAGAATAAGGTAAAGGAATATTGGAAGAAAAGACTAAAGATCAACTGTTTGGTTTTCTACCAAATCAATGTTTGTCAGTGTTATGGGAACTTACCCATAATAATAATGGACTATTCCTGACATTATAAATATTGCGCCTCTCAAGAGGTATGAGGATATATTGTAAGATGAGGAAGGGCACCTCGGCGTGGTGTAATGGTTAGCAAGCTGTTCTCGCTAGATCAGTTACAACTGAAAAGTGAGATCGATCCTCACTAGATGCCCCATACTTTCGACCTTGTGCCACATCTAAGCTATGCTTGGAAAAAAACTATATTGTAAGATGAGGAGAGATAATTGAGAGCATATTGTAAGGACATTGGAATAGTGATACTTGTCGAGACAACATAGTTCACTCTAAGCAAATCTGATAGTCATTACTAATACTTCTACTTCTTTGTATTATATTTCTGTTGTAATATATCTTTGTATTCCATACCTGTGTTTGTGTTATTCTTTCATTGGTTCTAATCTTGGACCATAACAGTCAGCGAAAGAAATAGACCAACATGCGAATTACAAATTGGAGATACCAAAATGAACCAATTGCAAAAATTTAAACATCTGTGAAGTTTGTTTGTTTTTTTTTAAACCGAAGGTGGAATTTGCGACACCTAAATCCAAAGAGGGATTGGGATAGTGAAACATGCCTTCTAAAAATTAAGCAAAGAAACATAAAAATTTCATTGGAAATAAAGAAAAGAGTACTGCACTACGATGCAATATTGGTACACTTATATAGCAGTGAAGGCAGGATCCATCTCATCCGAGGTGGAATAGAGACGTTATGCAACAGAAATATGGTTATACAGAAGAATGCTGAAAATACCATGGATTAAACACGTCAGCAACGACGATGTTTAGAGAAAATGGAAACAAAAAGACCACAAACGTGGCATAAGAAAGCGACTCTTGATTGGTTTACTTTAGTTTGGTTTATTTTACGGCATATCAACCACAATGGGTTATTTAATGCTGACAAGATTTTTATTGCTGATAATTTTTTTTTTTTTTTCAAAAATGTATTGCAATTTTTTTTTTCTTTTTCGAAAATGTACTGCCGGTAATAATTTATTATTGGTAATATATTTTTCTTCAAATATATATTGTTGGTAATATTTTTTTACCAAAAATGCATTGCAAAAATATTTTTTTCTTTTTAAAAAATGTACTGCCGGTAATAATTTATTACTGGTAATATATTTTTCTTCAAATATATATATTGTTGATAACATTTTTTTTTCCAAAAATATATTGCAATTTTTTTTTTTTTTTCTTTTTCAAAAATGTACTGCCAGTAATAATTCATTACTGGTAATATATTTTTCTTCAAATATATATATTGTTGGTAACATTTTTTTTCCAAAAAATGTATTGCAAAAATATTAAAGTATTGATTTTTTTTCTTCACAAATGTATTCCTGGTATTTTTTTTTCCAAAATCTATTTCTGGTATTTTTTTCAAAAATATATTCCTGGTAAATTTTTTCCAAAAATGTATTGCTGGTGTTAAAACCTATTTTTACACTTTGACCTAGTGTTTTGACCCCAGTTTGTGGGTTAACTATTTGCCCATAGCTGGGCCCCTAACAGATACTAGCACCCCGGGTTAGGGTGGACCTGGTAACACCAACAAATAAGAGGTGGTTCCACGCTCCTCAAAACCTGATCAGAGGCCTTGCTGTCGGATGTAGTTTATCGTCTTACCTAGGACTGTTGAAATTTCAAGAACACATAATAAGGAAAGAGAGTTTAGAAAATTTGATACTCCCAAGACTTATTGAAAGCAAATGGTATATAGGAAAGCATTATATAACCTACCTAATCAACTTTTGTATATGATTGGTAGAACAAGAATTAGGAGATATATTGAAATGACAACATTTAATATGAGCTATAAAGGAAGTTATAAAGGAGCTATAAAAGAAGTTATGGATAGTCATGA